TCAGGCAATGGGTGCACCAAAATCTTAGAAATCACCACTAAAGAACTTATGTATGTAACCAAACACCACTTGTTCCCTAAAAACCTATTGAAATAAAACAATAAATTTTTTAAAATTGTAAAACAAAAAGTGTTGTACCAATCCACACTCCTCTAGCAGCACGCAAGAGTATCTGTTGTGCATTTCCTCACCAGCATGTGGTAGTATTGGTCTTTTTAATTTTACTCGCTATGTTGGGCATGTAATTCTGTCCGGGGTTTTGGTTTTATTTTCAATTTCTTATTATTAGTATCCTAATATTAAGAATTTTTTCATATGTCTATGGTCTATTATATATCCTTTTTCCCCCATTTTTCCTTTGGTTGATTGTCTTTTCTTACTGGTTTGTAGAATTTCTTTATGTATTTCATATGTGGACTCTTTGTAGGCTACAGATAGTGCAAATATCTTTTCCATTTTCTGTATCTTTTAATGAATAGAAGTTCTTAATATTAGTGTTAAATTTAAATGTCAAATTAATTTCAGACTTATCAATCTTTTTATGATTAGCTCTTTTTGTACCCTATTTAAGAAGTCTCTCCTTACCTTTAATGACATTTTAATTTTAATATACTTAAACATACTGATCTTTTATGATTAGTGTTTATTAATTAGTCTTTCCTCCCTTAAAGTCCTGAAGCTCTTCTCCTATATTGTCTTCTAGAAGCTTTATTGTGTCGCCTTTCACATTTAAGTCTATGATACATCTATAGTGAATATTCATGCATGGCATGAGGCAGGGGTCAGGTTTTCTCTTCCTCATAATTATCCAGTTGTTCCAGAACCATCTATTCAAAAGACTCTCTTTAGCACTTCACAGTGCCTCCTTTGTCATAAACAAAATATCCTTATAAGCATGAATCTCTTTCTGATATTTCTGTTCTATTTCATTGGTCAATTTGTCTATCCTCATGTCAAAATTATTTACAATACATCCAAATATATAGTAAAGAAACCTCCTATCTTGTTCTTCAAGGTTGTATTGATTATTCTTGGCCCTTTGCACTTCCATCTCATCAAGTTTCAAAGAAAAAATTTGGTTAGATTTTAATTGGCTACCAAACTTAAAAAAAAAAAAAAACCTCTGCTATATCTTCTGAATAATAATTTGAATATTATTTCTTTGTCTCTTAGGTCACTCGTCAGCAAAAATACATAGTGTGTCTGCTTTAGGTAAAGTAACTGACCAGGTTCAAAGATGCTTTGATATGAACCAAATCACTGACCCTCGCAAAACATGTTGCTTTAAGAAATTGCCTTCGTATGAGAGAAATCCCTATAGAAGCATCTTAAGTTCCTTAAATTTTTTCCTCTCAATAAACCCAATAGTAATTGTATCCTCCTGACAGTCTTCAGAGGGCAACGGAAATGACTTTAGAGTTAGAAATTAAAATGAGGAAAGGATACAAATTATTTACAGGATAAGACTTTATGTGCAAAATGCATCTATAAAGTTTACTTCCTGGAAGTCTGACCTGTTCGCTTAGCCTCTCTATTCTTCCTCCATTTCCTCTTTCCATTCCCACCTTTCTTCTTAGTGCCAATATTTTCCTCAAACAAAGGCTTTTCTCATTAACTGCCGGCATTGCTTTGCCTCCAGCCCTCTGCGTCTGTGTTCTCTTTGGTCATTGTTTTCTATCAGCAGAAGCACAGAGACTCTGTCTTCTAAGTATTCAAGGCATTCCTGACTTCTCAAGATGATCTTCACAAGTCACTGAATGTAACATCAAGAACTTTTGCACATTTCAGAGTACATACACGGGAAGCCGCGTCCCAGGAATGCACATGGCAACCTCGCTAGGTAACTCATAACTCTGAAACCCATTTCAGAAAAAATGCCTGGAGTTCAAGGGAAGAGCTGGAATTATAGTTCAAAGCTTTGGGGTGGTCTGTTATGCAATTAACCAATTCACTTTGTTATTAATAGTATCACGAATCATGCTGCAAGCCAGGTGTGCTTGTAAGGGAAGCGCCAAGCACTGCTTCAACCATTTAATTATTTATGACATTTTCCCCCTTTTTAACTAAAGCATGCCTGCTGTATAAATTTTGACAAACAATAGATAATTTAAACACCAGCCATAATCTTACCACATAGATGGTATCAGTTATTATGGTGACATTCACTTCCAGGCTTTTTTTTTTCTTTTTTTGAGACAGAATTTTGCTCTTGTTGCCCAGGCTAGAGTACAATGGCGTGAACTTGGCTCACCGCAACCTCCGCCTCCCAGGTTCAAGCAATTCTCCTGCCTCGGCCTCCTGAGTAGCTGAGATTACAGGCATGTGCTACCACGCCTGGCTAATTTTGTATTTTTTTTTTTTTTTTTTTTTTTGAGACGGAGTCTTGCTCTGTCGCCCAGGCTGGAGTGCAGTGGCCGGATCTCAGCTCACTGCAAGCTCCGCCTCCCGGGTTCACGCCATTCTCCTGCCTCAGCCTCCCGAGTAGCTGGGACTACAGGCGCCCGCCACCTCGCCCGGCTAGTTTTTTTTTTTGTATTTTTTAGTAGAGACGGGGTTTCACCGTGTTAGCCAGGATGGTCATGATCTCCTGACCTCGTGATCCGCCCGTCTCGGCCTCCCAAAGTGCTGGGATTACAGGCTTGAGCCACCGCGCCCGGCCTAATTTTGTATTTTTAGTAGAGATGGGGTTTCACCATATTGGCCAGGCTGGTCTCGAACTCCTGACCTCATGATCTGCCCACCTCGGCTTCCCAAAGTGCTGGGATTACAGGCATGAGCCACCATGCCCGGCCCACTTCCAGGCTTTTTAAATGCATTGCTGATATTATATGTAATTTTACTTTCTGCTTAAATTTATATTAAAAGTAGATTTCCGTGTCTGTAATTTTTTATATCATTAAATGGCTGTAAAATATCCCTTTGAATCATAAAGAAATGAAGTTTTCCTTTTATTGTAACTTGTTTCCAATTTCATCACAATTATAAGTAACATTGATATGGTAATCCTTATGCATGACTCTTTGTCTGTATTTCAGATTTTTTTCATAGGCAAAATATGTATCAGATAAAGGTCTTGCATCCAGAATATATAAATAACTCTTACAAATCAATTATAAGAAGACAAATGAGTCAATTTTTCAATGGGTAAAAAAAAAAAGCGAACAGATAATTTACCAAAGAAGATATACTTAAGGCAAATAACCCCGTGAAAATATACTCCACATTAGTCACCTGAGAAATACAAAGTAAAAGGACAATGAGGTAATACTACAAATACTACAGACTAACATTTTTTAACTGACGATACAAAGTGTTGGCAATGACATGGAGCAACTGGAATTCTCATACATTGCTGGTGGAAATGAAAATGGTACAACCTCTTTGGAAAAAAGTTTATCCAGTGTTTTATAAAGTTAAACTACACTTACTATACAACCCGGCAACTCTCCTCCTAGAAATAAAATAAAATTCTACTCCACAGAGAAATGAAAATACATCCACACAAAAACCCATATGTGAATATTCAGAGCACTTAATTAATAATAGCCCAAACTGGCCAGGCACAGTTGCTCACACCTGTAATCTCAGCACTTTGGGAAGCCAGGGTGGGCAGATCACTTGAGATCAGGAGTTTGGGACCAGCCTGGTCAACATGGTGAAACTCCGTCTCTATTAAAAATACAAAATTAGTCAGGCATAGTAACGCACGCCTGTAATCCCAGCTACTTGGGAGGCTGAGGCAGGAGAACCATTTGAACCCAGGAGGCAGAGGTTGCAGTGAGCCAAGAAACAACCCAAATGTCCATCTACTGGTGAAAGGATAAACAAACAATTGTGATGTGTCTATTTAATGCAATATTTCTCAGCAGTAAAAATGAATAAGCTACTGATACATGTAATTGCATAGATAAATCTCAAAAGCAGTGTGCTAAGAAGCCAGGCATCAAAGACTACCTACTGTATAAATCCATTCATATGGCATTTTAGAAAAGGCAAAACTATAGTGATATTTGTAGTTTCCTGGGCTTGGGAGTGGAGGTAAGAACTTTTTGGAATGAAGGAAATGTTCTACACCTTGATTGTGGTGGTGGTTATATGACTATATAGATTTGTCAAAATGAATTAAACTGAACACTTAAAATGAATGAGTTTGTAGTATGTAAACTGTACCTCAATAAAGCCAATTAAGAAAATAAGAAAAGGTTCTGCTATATAGTTTTTTGGGTTGTGTTTGTTTGTATGGGCAGCTGACCTAAAGTGGAACCTGAAAACAGATTGGGGAATTCAGACAGAGAAATAGGACTTGAAGGGTGTAGGGGACGGTGTCAGGACAATGATTTCTGGTTTTGGAAGTGTTAAGGAGGTTGAGTTAATGAGGGCACAGAGAGAGAAAAGAGACATAGAGAAATGTGGGGCATGGGGGGATCTCTACTGCAGCAAAAAGGAAAAAGGAGAGCAAGAAATTGAGAAAACACTTAGTTTTTATACCTAGGATTTTTGTATGTGCTGTCTATTTTGTCTCAATTTATTTTTATTTTTTTATCTTCATTCTCTTGGTCGCTGCTTTTCCTGGGGGGTTTTAGACACCATGTGTAACTATTGTGTGCTTCCAAAGTCTTCCACTGAACAGACCACACACATACCTACAGACACACCACACACAGCTCAATCTTCCCCAATGCCCCCCACCACACACACACAAACACACACCCCTCACACTAAAATAAAACAACCAAAAGAGAAAAATGGGGGGCGGAAGCAAACCAAGAGACAAGAAGGTAAAATCTGGCCCCTGCCCTAAAGCGCATTAGTTGGGAGAGTTCACTCTTGATCCTTTACATTCTGTGGGGAGCAGTAGAAAATTACCGGGTTATTCGCCCCAAGTCTAAGCAGCTGAATAGGAAAATAGCTTTAATAGCCCTATTAGGACCTGGGCAAAGGACTTTTCCTTTGGGTTTGTTGTGAATGATTAAAGGTTAACGGTGGCATTTTTCTTTCAGCCTAGGGGAGGCAACCATCTCAGTAATGATGCTAATTGGATCCAACTGGGGAACTCCAGAAAGTCTCAGTAACAAATTTGCAATGGTTCTTGGCCTTTTAATATGGATTCACAAAAGATAATGAGGCTATCCTGTCATTTCTACTCTATGGATAAGGAAAGTGACATTCAGACAGACCATGGGATCTACCCACTCCCTTATAAAGAACCGGATGACCAACGTTAGCGACAGGACCTCCCGTTTGGCATTTTGTTTTCAGATGTGCCTAGAAGAAGGAGACAACATCTGCTTGGACTGTTGAAGCCTGGGTTCTGCTTGAGTTGTCAAGATATCACCTAAATCCTATCCACATTTTGTGCACCAGGTTTGTGGGCGCCTACCACCATTCATTCATTGCAGTGGCTCAGAGAGGATGAAAAGAGGACTCTTTGTGGCCAATGAAGATCCCCGACAGAGCTCAGCTGACCAGAGTGGACTGGCTTCTACCCTAAATACACATCAGGAGATTTCCCACTCTGCCCTTGCTCCACTTTGTACAACACCACATAGCCCGAGAGTGGCAGAGCTGCCGTGGGAACCCAAATGCCGTCTGACTACAAAGCCTTACTCTCAACCACCACTCTGCTGCCTCCTATTGTTTCCTGAAATCTTCAGTATAGTCATTATTATGAAGTAAAAAAAGAAAATGTAAAGGAAGGAAGGAAGGTAGAGGGAGCCCTTCTATCTCCATTATTTGTTTCCATGAAGAACTTCCACTCCATTTTCAGGGGAGTGCTATCGGTGTAACACACTTTCTGGCCCTCTCTCTCCCATTCCTATCACTCATTCTCCCCAAGGAAGACGCGATATGTGGATGCTAAGATTGGAAGAAACCACTCGTACGTTCGATGGTGTGTTGGTAAACGTTTAGCAGCTGGCTTTGGGGCAAAGAGAAAGCCCTGAATTGTAGCATGTGTCAATCTCCATGGTGTAAAAACATTTCTACCATAGCTGCTTCCAAGTATGTAAATTGTACACCTCAATAAAGCCAATTTAAAAAGTAAAGTCAACCAGTTTGTAGAACTCTTGAGACTTTAACATTCATTCCAGCAAGCTGTTACCTGCTGGATCCAGCAACACACAACCTGTAACATGGTGAGCTGGGTCTCAGCTCTCCACTCTTCACAGACTCCAGCGTTCTCTCCCCTTCGCAGGGTTTCTCATCCATCCTTCCATTGCTTCTGCTGCTGCCCTGAAGGCATCACCGCTCTCCCCTCTCCTCCCGGGGCGCCTAACTCTCTTAACAGTTTAGGACTTTGAGGAGTTTTGCCTTTCACAAAAACAAAGAAAGAAAGGGGGGAAAAGGTTGTGTCTCAGCAGCTTTCGCTGTCTACCCTGCAGCACAAATTTCACCTGATGGAGGAACATCAGACCCGCTGTGAAGAGGAGAAAGGGAAATTCAAATATGAAACGAGCTCTACTCTCCCTTACTCTGTCCTTCACAAAAGAATGGGGCAGAACATTCTTTAGTCTATACCTCTGTCCCACATGAGTTGCCAAAGACCGCAGTGCCTGGTGGGTGACATCTCTCCAGGCTTTTGAAGACATCTGAGCCTGGATTTTTTAGCACATTCCTGATCTCCCTACTGGGAGGCTCTTCTCCTTCAAGGTCTACCTTCTGACAAGCTCTAGCTCTTTCCCACCTCCGGTGCCTGGGTGGGCTGGGGGGTGGGGTCAGGGTGGAGATGTGAGCGCATGGTGATTGGCAGCCGCACTAGAACCCCATGGAGTGGAGAAGTGACCTTCTCCAAAGGAGGGGAGCCTACAGTTTCCGAAAGGGAGGAAGAATGCGGTGAGGAACAAATGCATCCATGCAGGATTTCAGATATAAACTACTCTGTAGAGTACAAGCACCTACTCCCGGCAACCGACGCCGGAGGAAGCGTAAGAGTATAAGAGACTGAGGCTTTGGCGAAGGCACATGACCGAAACCTCACATAATACTCCACCTGCCCCAGACCAGCCAGCCTGCTGTCCACAGTGTGCCCATCAGTGTATCAAACCTCAGCGCTTTATTTCCTGGGATCCCGGCCGGGCTCCCATTAACCTCCTGTGTTTTCCCCACAGCTCCTATACATGGGAGAGGGCCTGCGTTGGGCCAGATCCCAGAGCTGGGACCTAACTTGTGATGGGATGCCCTGGGAGGCAAGCATGCTTCAGCATGTAACCGATCAATGGCCAGACACCCAGGTCCGGAGGTGTCTGAGTCAGTCAGCAGGACGTTGGGCAGGTGTAGGTTCAGAACCTCTGCAGTTTTTCCCTTGGCTTTCCCGGGGCTTGTCCACAGCGCTCCCTGCTGCCCATTCTTGGTTAACCTTGTGTCTTGTGAATCCCTCATCAGATCTGTTCATGAAGCCTAATGCAAGGTCCTCCCTCCAGGGTGACACAGTGAAGTCAAGTAACAGATGTGGAGATGCTTTGGAGAGCTTGAAACAGAAGACTACATAATGGCAATGGGCCAATATCATAAAGCCAAGATTGAAGAAGACAGGACTAAATGCCTCCCTCATCTGCAAAAGTTGCCTTATCTTTCAGTATCATCCTGTTTCAGTGGACAGAAATCAATCCATCATATATTTGAGCCCTGCTCTTATAATCAGTTAAATTTTGCCTAAAATAAGGCCCTGCCTCAAGCAGATAATGGTTTATTTTTATTTTATTTTATTTTATTTTATTTTATTTGAGATGGAGTTTCACTCTGTCACCCAGGCTGGAGTGCAGTGGCACCATCTCCTCTCACTGCAACCTCCGCCTCCTGGGTTCAAGTGATTCTCACCTCAGCCTCCCAAGTAGCTGGGATCACAGGCACACACCACCATGCCTGGCTAATTTTTGTGTTTTTAGTAGAGATAGGGTTTCACCATGTTGGTCAGGCTAGTCTGGAACTCCTGGCCTCAAGTGATCCTCCCACCTTGGCCTCCCAAAGTGCTGGGATTATAGGCATGAGCCATCACGCCTGGCCAAATCATGGTTTAGAAAAGGGAGATGGTCAAATATGATTGTTATGACTGCCATAGTACCTACTATGTGCCAGATACTTTGCCTAGGTTTTCAACCCTCACAACACATCCCTAAAACATTGTACAGATGCAAACGCAGAGGCACTAAGAGGCTTAAAACATCCCCAAAGTCACATAGTTACTATAAAGCCAGTAACTGGCTCTATGTCTATCTGACTCCAAAATCTGTTTTGTCCCCTTCTGTGCCTATGCGCAGAGGGCAGTGGGAACGTGAATGGAGGTGGAGGGAGGGGTAAGAAGGAGACATCAGTGGTCTACCCTCTTTATGTGATAACAGACTCCCTCTTTTATCTGACAGCCGCTCTCTGACAAGAGGAATACCCATTCTTTCTTCCTAGGTCAAGAAAGAGGGTCCAAGGCATGGTCAATAACAACGCTGTCCCTCAGTCATGGGCCAAGTGCTGGGCACATGTCACCAGTCAGGTTACTGTTAGCCTTTCCCATAATTTTAATAACCTGAGCCTGGGAGAAAGAAGCCTCCCTCTCTCCTGGGGTTATCAAACTGTATGTAAGTCTAGAGTTGCCTGTGAGTACAGTCTCCCCTAGCGAGAAAGGATGAGACCAACTCATAATAAGAAGCCAAAATACGTGTACATATGAGTGTGTGTGTGTGTGTGTGTGTGTGAGAGAGAGAGAGAGAGAGAGAGAGCGAGAGAGCTGACAGCATTGTTTGAGTGTCTGGATGTAGCCATTCCTGTGGTGGCTCCGTCTAGTCCTTACTTATATGAGTTAATACATCCTCTTTTAACTGAAGCTTGTTTGTGTTGGGTTTCTGTCCCTTAAAGTCAAGAGTCCTGAGAAATACAATATTGGTCAAAAAAAGTATTCATAGAACAGGTGAAGCAGGAAAAAAGGGATTCACCAGAAAGATAAGAAGAGAGGCAGAGGGTGAATGTAGCAGCAGCTACACTCGAGGAACTGCGAGCAGCTCAGGCTGACTTGAGCCGAGATGTGTGGAGTGGGCTAGAGAGACGGGCGAGAGCCACGTCAGGGAAGGCCTTATTTGTCAGGCTAAAACATTTAGTCTTTATGTGAGGGCAACAGGGAGCTCCCAAAGGGTTTCAAGCAGTGGTGTGACATGCTCAAGCTCGTTTTGAGAAGGTCACTCGGGAGAACGGGTCTGAGAGACGGCACAACAGGAGGGCAGCGGAATAGTTACGAGGCTGCTCCAGGAATCCAGGTGAAGAGCTCAGGATGGAAAATGACTCAACTTTTTTGACTTGGTCATTAGCCACAGGGGAGGGCAAGAACCAAAAGAGTTGTGTTTTGTTCATGTGGAGTTTGAAGTAAGTATCATACATTTAAATGGAATTGTCCAGTAGGTTTACCAAAAGAGATGACAGAGTTGGAGATTGTTAAGTTTTTCTGAGTCATCAATTCAACTGTTTGTTGCCTGCCTACTACTGGCCAAGCAGTGTGTGGAGGAGAACACCGTCCAACCTCTGCTCCCCGGCATCACGCTGTGTCAAGACAAAACATGATAACCAGAGAAACCAATCAAGAAACGAGGGAAGTGCAGGGGAGACAGTAAAGCAGCGTCATGTGGCAGAGGGGCCGGGGTGTGGGATCCATCCCTTCAGTGGTCCTGGAAGGAGGAGCTGACGCCCTGAGGATGCAGGAGGTGGCTAAAGATGAATACTCTCCAATTCATGCCCACTGAATAGGAACATGCCCATTTGAAAGCATCCATATGCATTTTGTTTGGCTTCTTGGTTTTCTTTGCCGGGCTACGTCTTCAAAGCTGGCATTGAGGTGGCAGGAGGCTTCTGTGCAGAAAACTGAGGCTGGTGCTGGAACACTCCCACCATGGCCCCTTTGTTCTCATCCAGTGCCTTTCATCCCACGCTCCCAAAGCCCATCCTGGCGCCCACCCTTTAATTGTTAGGCCTGGCTCATCGACACAAGCAGGTGGCATTTGATCATTATTCCTGCATCATAAATGAGGGTAACAAAGGCCTCTCTCTCCAGGGTATCAGCCAATATTATTTTGTAAGTTCAAGGGATCTGACTTTGAGTTGAAGCAGAAAGGCCTGATGTCCCATCCTTTTCATTTCTGGAATTACCCGTCGCTGCATCTTTCTGTTACCGCCATTTCCTCTTTAACACCACGTGTCTAACTGGAAACTTTGTTTTTCTTCGTTTCATCTTCTTTGGAATATGTTGTTCCCTGTGACCCCTCCACACAAAGCCTTGCCTCCACAGCAGGTGCCCTGAGCCCTCCTGATGCCTGGGACTGTACCTTATCCAGTTTGCTTGTCTCAGGCACGGACTAAACTAGAATGTGCCTGGATCCCTATGGGTCTTGGCCTTCTACCAGATGACAGGCAAACTAAGAGATGTACACAACTTATGCACTCCCTTCCCTCTAGAATGTTTCAGCAGGGGTCCTCTAAGTAAGAAAGCTAGAATTAAAAGGAATAGTTTTAATGGTGAAACCCTGGCTAGGGAGATGCTTGATGCCCCAAGGCTGTGTGTCTAGCTAGGTCAGGCATAGCTCAGTGCGTTCTACACTTCATAGCAGATGTTTGGTTTGGAAAGTCCCTGGCTACTTGGCTTCTAGAGCCCTCTCTCACCATGGGACTTCTCTGTGGGAGGACAGAACTCATCAATCACATTATCCAAATGTCAAGTTCCTGCTGTGTAACCCCAGGAGAACCTTGCTTCCTGTCTGCATAACAGAAGTGAGGACCCCAGATTTGCTAGATAAAAGCTTGAGCTGGTGTGGAAAGGTACCCCCAGCTGGTCAGAGTTCCCGCAGAAGGCTGCCACTGGGAGACGGATTGCAGTATAAATGGCACCCCCATCTTCTGGATGTCTGTCGTTTCACCCTTCCTTCTTCACCCGACCATCTCCTAAGAGATTCTTCGGGGGATGTAATGCACCAGCCAGGAACTAAATTATATTCAACTTTCTCAAGTAGATACTATTTCAGCTACATTTGGGAAATGCTTAGCCAGAATTTGAGGTCACTGGAAGAGGTCATAGAATCACTCGGGTTCAGACTTGTGGAATTACTTACACTTTCCAGAAACTGTCATGCCTTCCTTGGCTCCAGGGCTTTATACCTGCTGCTGCTTGTGGCTTGGGGTTTCCTTGTCTCCCACCAACCCTATCCACGGCACACACATGCATACACAAACATGCACACACGTATACATATGCATGCATACACACACACACGCACACATGCATACACACACATGCACACACATACATGCATACACACATGCATGCACACACACACATACACTCACACACGCATACACATACACACATACATGCATGCACAAACATGCACACATGTATACATATGCATGCACACACACACGTGCACACATGCACACACACATGCATACACACATGCACACATATACATGCACACACATATGCATGCACACACACACACGCATACACATACACACATACATGCATACACACATACACACACACACATGCACATGCACACAATACATGCATACACATACGTGCATACACAGATGCATACACAGATGCATACACAGCATGGCTTCTGCTTGTCCTTCCAGAGTCTCTTGTAAAGCTTTTCCTGATATTCCAAGTCTCGAGCTAGCTACCCTCTCACACCCCCATTTTTTTTTTTTTTGAGATGGAGTCTCGCACTGTCACCCAGGCTGGAGAGCAGTGGCGTAATCTCAGCTCACTGCAACCTCCACCTCCTAGGTTCAAGCGATTCTGCCGCCTCATTCTCCCAAGTAGCTGGGATTACAGGTGCCTGCCACCACACCCAGCTTAGTTTTTGTATTTTTAGTAGAGACAGGGTTTCACTATATTGACCAGGCTGGTATTGAACTCCTGACCTTGCCACACCCCCATTTTTACAGTTTTCTAACCATTGACTATTTTCCAGTCTTTTTTTTTTTTTTTTTTTTTGAGGCAGGGTCTCGCTCTGCACCCAGGCTGGAGTGTGATAGTGCAACCATAGCACATTGCAGCCTCCTGGGCTCAAGAGAGCCTCCTGCTTTCAGCCTCCTGAATAGCCAGGACTACCAGAATGTACCACAACATCAGGGTAATTTTTTAAAATTATTATTATTTTTTTGAGATGGAGTCTTGCTCTGTTGCCCAGGCTAGAGTGCAGTGGCGTGATCTCGGCTCATTGCAACCTCTGCCTCCTGGGTTCAAGTGATTCTTGTGCCTCAGCCTACTGAGTAGCTGAGATTACAGGTGCGCACCACCACACCTGGCTCATTTTTGTATTTTTGGTAGAGACAGGGTTTCACCATGTTGGCCAGGCTGGTCTCAAACTCCTGACCTCAAGTGATCCGCCCATCTCGGCCTCCCAAAATGCTGGGATTACAGGCATGAGTAACCGTGCCCTGCCTAAAATTATTTTTTGTATTATTAATTACACAAACATTATTAATTAGAAATTATTAAATTTTGTAATTTTAGTAGAGATGGGGTCTCACTGTGTTGCCCAGGCTGGTCTCAAACTCCTGCTTAAGTGATCGTCCCACCTTGGCCTCCCAAAGTGCTAGGATTACTGACATCAGCCACTGTGCCTGGCCAAGTATTTACCAATTGGCAATAAGTTCTCTGGTTGTCATTACAGTTCCAACATG